TCGTAAAAATCTACCTTCGCTAGAATACTTGCGTGAATAATTCCAGAAAATTTGATGCGCTCTCTAAAAATCGCCCCTGGAATATTTGACCCCTAAAAGCTTATCCACCGAAAAAAAATATACGAGACAAATTCGCTATGAGAAAATCGCCTTTTTAAAATGCTTCCGTGCAAGATTCAACCCGTAAATTCATACAGGGAATATTCCCCTCTACGAATTTTCCTCCCGTAATATTTTCCTAAAAAATTCGCCTATCGAATAAAGTCGTCCTTGGAATATTTGACTCCCAAAAACTACAAGGAAAATTTGCTATGGAACAATTCTCTTCCGAAAAATTTACCTACGGAAAATGTAGGCTCCCAAAATTGCCCTTGAAACATTCGTCCCGAAAAGGAAATTCATCTACAGAAAATGTTGAAAAAACCATCTTTCGATTATTTGGTCCCCAAAAAATCGTCAAAGAAAAATTTGCGTTGGAAGTTTACGCCCTGGAATGCTCGCTTAAAAAACTCGCCCCGGAAACTTGGGTGGAAAACTTGCCTCCAGAAACGTAAAAAATCGCCCTGTAAATATTTGACCCACAAGCATTGTCCCCTCGCCCTGGGAAATTTTCCTTGGTATACTTGTGTAAAAAATTTGTCCCCAGAAAAAATTCACCGTTGAAATATTTTACTCAAAAACTCTAGTCCTGGTAAAAATTTGCCTTGGAAAAATTCTAGATGGAAACAACCTTGAATGTTTGGTGTACAACTCATCTGTGTTAATTTGAACTAACGTGAATTAATTAGAATTAATGTGAAGTAAATAGAATTAACGAGAATGACTGTCAATTAACGTGATTCAATTTGAATTAACGTAAATTAATTGGAATTTACGTGAATTAATTTGCATTTACGGGAATTAACTTGACTAAACGTGAATTTACTTGAATTTACGTGAATTACTTTGAATTAACGTGAATTAATTAGAATTTTTGGTGTACACCAAAAATAGTACTTGTTTCCCCCTAGGTTTTTCAACTATATTTGAACAATTTTCGTGTATAGAAAACTTACGCGTTTTGATTAAAGAGCTAGATTTAATTAAAAAAAAGAGCAGTATGAAATAAAATGTTTTACATTAATGGTAGATATGTTAAATCAGTTAACGTTACTCGTTTCGAAATTCCCCTCGGGGAACGCAATACCTTCGCAACTACGTCGCTCGGAGTATTACTGTTCCCTACTATAATTACTGCTTTTGTTAGGTATTAAAACCCTAAATATATAAAGGTAAAATTGACATTTCGATACTGCGAAAGATTGGTAAGTTATTACAGTGGCAAACAAAATTTCAAAAACTAAATTTCGAGAAACCTGAAGCCTAGTTTGCCCCTGATTCAAAATTCACTTCCAACGAGAAGTCAAATTTACCAGACCACATAAAATGTGCAATTGTACTGTACAAGCCGTTCGACTACCCAATTTTTTGAACTGCTGCTTGATGAGTTGACATATGTATGACGCGTCCTATGTACTGTCGTATGCCATAGGGAAAGAATTAAATTGAAATATGAAGCAAGAATGGTACAAAAAGAAAATTGAGCCTAAATGACGCATACAACTGATGGAGTGCCAACGAAAAAGGATTCGTGAGAACAGAGAGGAAAAGAACGAGAGAGGAAAGCGCGAGGATTTGAGACAGAAACTAACAACGAAAGAAAAGATAACAAGTTAAAAAGTAATAGTAAACGATTTACATAAAGCTCATTTCCACTTGCATTCATTTCCCATTTCATTTGTAAGATGCAACTTCTGTTAAAATCGTAAAATTAGCGTTGCAAATGTGCAATCCATTTTTGACGTGCTACTTCAATTTCAGTTTATAAGAAGAGTTTCATTTCAATGCTTTTCTAAATAAGAAAGTTGGAACTGCGCATGCGCAAACCTAAATTTTGAAATTAACGTTAGATTTTCCTTTGTTCCAAACGCCTACGTATAAAATTTCATTTAAATGCTTCCATGAATAAAAAAGTTGGTACTGCGCATGCGCAAAACCAAATTTTGAAACTGGCGTTTAATTTTCCTTTATTCCAAGTGCCTATGTATCAAATTTCATTCAAAAACTTTTATAAATAAAAAAGTTTGCAATGCGGTTTATAAATGCTCGATATGCGAAAAGGGCACTGTGAATTTTGAATCGATTCGGCCCAACTTTTGGCATTGCGTATTATATGGCTAAAGCTATGCTGCCCATATTGAATTTCATGCAATTCAGTTCATAACTAACGGAGATCTAAAAGCGACATTTCTAAACAAAGTTATCGTTCACACGGACAGATAGAGGATCGTTAATAAACGGCAAAAATGTAAAATTATGGAACATGTAAAAAACGGTTTGTTGGTTTTTTTACAATAACATTTTTAGCAATAAACGCAGAAAAAATTCCTTCCTTGGTGCAAGCCTCGTCCCTCGATACCATAACGAACCAAATAGCGAAAAAAGTAGAGCAATAGCTCTTCAGATAAAGAACTAGTAGCGTCTCAACGAACGAGCGGACGGACAAAGTGGCCACAATAGCGCATTTTTTTTAATTTTTGTGGAAATGCGCTAAAAAGAGGGAAAGAGGAGAAGGGGGGGGGGGACATACGAACACAAACAACAGAAGAAAAGAGAAAAACGAAATAACAACGAATAAATTTTCTGGAATGTAGCGGAGGTAGGTGATAAAGACGCTTAATTCTGGGAATTTGTAAGAGGATATGATGTCGTGGAGATGGTCGAATCGTGGATCGAAAAATTGGGAGAAAATAGAGAACAGTATTCCGAATGAACACATATAGAAGAACCAATTTGCTAAGGGCGAGAGCAAAAGGAGGTATATTAACAGGGGTAAAAAAAGGAATGGGAAGAGGAATACAAAATCGAAAATCAAGAGATAGAGTGCAACAAAGAGGGAAGTATGGAGGGAGATAGGGCCAGATAGGAACTGAAAATTCACATACATTGGAGGATGGTCAGATTGATTACACAATATAAATGAAAAATATTGGAGGAGGTGAAAGAACAGAAAAAAAAGTTCAAAAGAAAATGTATAGAAAAAGGATGGGACAAATCAGGGAAAAGACTGAAGAAAGGAAAAGTGGCAGCGAGAGACCAGATAGGTAATGAGGCTGGAATTTTGGTCACATAGGGTCGAGGAAAGCATGAGAAATCTAGTAAACAAGGTATGGAAAGCAGGGGTTTATCCAAAGAATAGAAACAAGGTGTCGATCTTCAAAAGGGGGAACAAAGATTGTGCGGTAAATTATAGGGGAATTACTATAATGATTACGGCCGGCGTATAAAATCTATGAAATAATACCGGACGAAAGACTAGAAAGAGAAATAAAAGAGACGAGGATGTTGGAGGACACCCAAATGAACCTCAGAAAAGGGCAATTGGCAAAGATATTAAAAAAATTCACAGATTGCGCAATCCTTGCAACCATCGGAGACATTGGAAATGATAACCGTATAACCTATAAAGCCCTAAATAACCCTTATTCACACGGAATAATCTTGCTCCGCTCGCTCGCAAGCTCGCTCGTGTCGCAAACGTAAACTTTCTGAATAATACGCGGCGTAAGTCGTAACATGCTTGTAATACTATCACGGGCGATGTGAAAGAATTTTAAATTCGAATTAACAAAACTCCTGCGCACTGTTAAGTAAGTACCTTATCGACAGTATCCGCGACTTTTCCTGAATCTACCGATTGCAGTCGAGTACGGTACAATCAACACTAAACGCGACACCACTGTATTTTTTTCTACTCGGCAAACCTGGTAAATTCATACCCATACAAAACATACGCATTTCCAATGCTAAAAATAATTCGTTGCGTAGATAATCGTAAACAAGTGAAAATCGTCATTTTTAAAATGTTCAAATATTTTAGTAACAAAAAGTGCTATTGAAAAAAGTTTCAAATAAAAGATGCAAGATTCGATGGGATAAATTCAATGGATTTAGAACATTTTTTTTCAAATGGCGGTTTTCGAGATATTGTCATCAATTTTCTTATTTTAAATGGACACCATATTGGATTTTTACCTTACTCGATAGGCAAAAAAAAAGGCCGAGTCTCACTTGCGAGTTGCGTTGTATTCACTCGGCGACGCGACGCGATTCCGCACTACGTGTTGCTAAGAAAGATTTCATGTTTTTAAATGAATGCGCTCTCCAAGCTACACTACAGTTTACCTTTACGACGCCACGCCATTCATTGTAAAACATGAAATCTTTTTAGCGACGGCGACACTTTGCATCGCGTCGCGTCGCCCAGCTAAGTGAGAATCGACCTTAATTATTCATATTTGTATTTTAGATAGCAGCGATATCTAAACCGACTTGTTTGTCATAATCGGCGTAAGTAGACCCTCTGTGTTGGGGGTGCGGAGAGGAAGAAGAAACACATCTGCATAAATATTGTTATGCATTTTTTCGATAAGTCAAAATTTATTAGAAACCGTCTCTTTCTAGTAGATCTGTCCTTTAAGAGCAACGTAACAGTTTCAGCATCACATTCTCTTCGAATTGATGGCTCTATCTCTGTTTCTAGTCATATCTTGATGGCTATACATCTTTTGGATTCTACAGGTTAAATCGTGTATTTCTGGTAGATCTGCGACAACTTTTGTTTTTACTAAGTTTTAAAGGCAAGTTGGGAATACTTCAAATTGCTCCTCTCAGGAAAATCTTGAACCTTTTCAAAGACACAGAGATTTTAAGGGAGTATGTATAAAAATAGACAGTACAGTGGGTTCGCGATACATGGACAAAACAGTATAGGTATCGCTTTTGAGTTTAAATAATAATAAAATAATAATAATAATATATGGGAATCAAATGAAAACAAGAAACTATTTGTTTTCTTTTCGAATTTAATTCAACAGTAATTGGTTGTCAAGTTAACATATGGTGTGCGTATACATTATTCAGGTATTGCGTCCTTCTTCCCCTTCACTATACATAGGTACTAGAGGTTTACAATATAATATATGCTTATCATGTAAAGTATCCCGAAGAAATAGAAGATAATAATAGATTTTTTGACAAGTTTTCATCTGATTTGCCTGATCGTTTGGACCTCAATCTTTATAAAACTTAGGATGTTCCAAACCCTTTACAACGCATTCGCAAAGTTTAAAAGATTTTGACTCAAGTTCTTTCTCAGGATTTGCTTTTCCCACGCATCTTTTCACCAAATTATATGTAAGATAATCGGCCTTTTTCATTATTACCATCTCTTGAAAGTGCCCATCATTGCTTATCATTCCCAATTCACGATAAATGCAAGTAATGTAATTCCTGAATTGTTTCGTATCTGGAATCGAAGGTCCTCGAAGTATGTTGTTAATGTCTTCGGGAGCAATACCGGAATGCTCAGAGCACTCCTTTTTGTGCGGTGCCATGATACTGTCCCATTTTTCTATTATGTATGTTGGGATCTATGTAAAGTGAATTCAATAGAACAGAACAACAAACGGCATACTTACCTCTCCTGTCGACTGTTTGACGTGGAGGATACACAGTACAAGTATAGCTAAGTAAACCTGCATCTTACTTCTTTAGTTTCTAGATGTTTACTGAAAGAATGTACTTGTACATACTTTGTCTGCGTATTAATAAGCTTGTTTGTATACATTTTAGATATCAAATGTCGCGATACCCGTGTCATAGGGTCAAATATAAATAACAATAAAAGCAGAAGTTTATTTATTTTGCAAAAATATTGGTTTGTCCCTGTAACTTTTTGGTCAAATAATGTAGGGTCTCCCTATTAGTATTTGGTTCCACATAATCCATGCGGGACAAAAATAGTAAAGAGAGTACTTCGATTTATTTCCAGACGAAGGTCACATAGTAATAGGTACCATAGGTACACTAAATCCGTACAGGTGGTTGAGTTGCTCGGATGCTGCTGCACATTTTTTTAAGTTATTGAACATGTGCTAAAAATTTTGGTAATATTGTATTCGATATTTTAAACGTCTACGTTACTATTTCCATAAGAAAAACATTTGAAAACTTTTTAGGGGGAGCACAAACATTTTTAAGGTTATCTAAACAAATAAGTACATATATTTAGAAAATTATAATCAATTGTGAAATGTTGTGTTAAATTGTTATAGACGTATAAAAACTTTAAATTCATGATAACAGAATTGTAAATATCGTGTAAACACGAACTGATAAATTAACAGACTGAAACCGAAAATACCATTCTATACCAAAAATATGAGAGTTTAGAACTCGGTTTAGAAGAATCGCATACGACTTCCAGTAGGGGAATTTTTTGCCACTCACCTCGCATTCTGAAACACGGCTCATATTCACTAGCTCTGATCCATGAATTCATTTCTGTCTCTTTTCGTTCTCGAGTTAAACGAGGAACAGACGGACAGACAAAACCATCACATAAGGGAAATTTCAATCGAAAAATTCTCCTAAAACCCATGCCATGATTATTCTTATATTCACTCTGCGGAGAAAACAGAGCGTTTAAATTTATACGGACGATGTCTAAATCACACAAATGTCAATCGCACAAATGTCTTTTTGTTGGAGATCTTCATAATCAGGTTGTGTGTCTTGTTACGTAGGTATGTGGATAAAGGATTCCTAAACTAATAATTGTAGCACTACATACCATAATACATATTTCATAGGAAGTATCAGTTAGTAGCCCGAACAGTTTACAGGATTAGAAACAAAGAGTAGGTAACGGAGATGGTGCAAGGTTCGCTCATGTGAATAATTTTATAGAACATATATTGAGTCGATTTAACATGAATGAGATACCGACTGATCGAAATGTAGGATTGTCATGAAGCTTGAATGATATCCCAAATAATACGAAAATACGACAGGTTGCAATCATCTCGATATCATGTATGTCGTAATAGTACATTATATATCAAGGTAGAGAAGTTCACTATTATTGCCTGAGCACCAAGATTACATCTCGAGGCGCTTGCGCCGAGGGGTGTAAGGTGCGAAGGCAATAATTGACTTCTCTACCGTGGTATATATACTATTTTTTTCACTACTAGCACTTGAAATCCTCTAAATTAACATATTATATTGATAAGAGAGTTAACGGTTGGACAGAATTGTTTGTTTCTTAATTTAACATGTCAATCAAGTACGTGGAAGTACAAGTCAAACAGGCCGTATTTTGTTCTGACATTGAGATTTTTCAAAGAGCAATTTCGTTCGAATTTTTTCAAAATGTGATAATTTTAGGTATGTAATTTCTCTGGAAATTGCGAATGGTGGCAATTATTCGTTTTAGAGAACTTGTCTAAACGTTCATTGAGCGAAATTTCGGGTTGTGTTTTCTAAAAGTGACAGCGTGACAGTTCTCATTATTGACTACTAGTTAATAATAAAAAATTATTAACCACTTTGAACAAATGCCGAGAAAGCCTACTTTACAAGTGGAAAAAAGGTTAATAATCATGTCATCAGACGCTAGTAGTGAAAAAAAATTGTTAATCGATACCAAAACAATTATCCTGCTTTAAAAAAGAACGCTATTAGACGTATAAGGACTTAAGTGTACAAGGCGATTTGTGATGAAATATTCAACAGTAGATGATGATTATGCAAGTGATGTAAACACTAAAACTGTAAAACGACCACAAACACACCAAACATATTGACTTCTATTATAACTATATAGGTGAAAATCATAACGTGCAGGTAGCCAACATGTGGCGACCTTTGTTAAATTTGTCACTACCTCTGAATATGAGGGTGTGTCAGTAGATAATCAATTAGTGACTAATAAAAAAAACATCCTCTGTCCAAATAAAAATGAATAATAAAAACTAATAATTTGTGATGTGGCGCATGAACAGAATTCGGTCATGAGACTAAAGCAATAAAGGCGAAAAATTGACGTTTCTAACTAATTGTTGTATGTTGTTCTTAAAGAATGGATATTTAACTCGGCAGGAGGAGGCAGCTAAAACCTTTCATTGTAGAGTAAGGAAGTAGCTTTGTTTGTAAAAAGGAATGAAATTTAGTCGTTGAATGAAATTCATCGATCTCGGTTAGGACAGGTGCAAGATTGTTGACACCAATCGAGTAGAAATGGGGGGTTTAGAAAATTTTGTTATTATATTCAGTGCCAACCACTATTGCAATAATTCACTACAAGGTAAATTCTTTTCAATTAAATTAATTAATTGAATTATAGATATAATATTTGCAAGTAGCTATAATCCTACATGAACCTGTATGTGGTCCGATATCAATAAATACAATCGATGGGGCCGTTGCTCAGGGAATAGACTTAGCTGAAAGGATTAATTAATTCCTTCTCTTATAATTGACTCATATTTTAATTTTATAATTTATTTGTTGACGTATTTCAAAGAAAGTTACACTGATTTTAGGTGGGATTTAAATTGATTACTACGGCTAGCAGTAAGGTCAAATGGTGTCTTAAATGTTGGTTCTGTGAAAAGCAGACCTAGGACGAACCACGTCTATTATAATAAAGACCTATGTCCATGGGGCCCATAGAGCCTCCAACTTGGTTCTGTGAACCAGTATCCATTTTAACCCCTAATACCACCAAAATGGCATACACAGCCAATATATTTTCTTTGCTATTAAAATCTGGCCCAAAAGATGGAGAGTCGGTTAAATGCGTTGCTTCATATAGTAGAAAAGCATTAAAAGCAGAGGGAATATAGGCGAATCAAAAACAAGCAGTATAGATGATTTCATTATGTACAAAGACTGAAAAACGAAAGATCCGTAAAGCAAGCGCACGCACAAACAGGACAAAGAAGAGGAAGAGCAAGAGGATCCAACACTATTGACAGAATCAAGTGGAAAAGCAAAAAAATAAAGAGTAATGAACGCAGTTTGCTTATAGAAGTGTATACAGGGTGAACACATCTTCAAAAGAACCTTTCTTTAAAGAAGCTTTTTACGGTATCCAAAATTATAAAAAAAAATGCTACCAATCTACGTACTTTAAATTTGTCGTCAGTGTCGTACTTCTGAATGGCCAAGAGGGGTTATTTTTAGCGCAATTTTGCAAATTTATGTTATGTAAGTAGCCTTCGACAAGATCTGTTATTGATGGTTGAGTCGAAAGTGGCTAATAGTATACTGATCTGCCACACAAAAATGCGCTGAAGTCCCTTCGATCTCACACGAGGACTTTGATAATTTTTTTAATGGCAGTAGCGCAGATATGTTGATAAGAGTGAAATCAACTAACACTCCTGTCTGTTCACCTGTCAGTACATCAACGTAACCTACTGACCGACTATGCGATCTACGAGTATTGTGATGGCATCTAGTATATTGAAAAATGCCTTAGAAGCATGGTTGGCGACACCTTTGAAATCCATTTTTTTAAATCAAACTTGGATAAATACGAATGGCCAAAGCGTGACGACGTACAAAAGCGACATCTGGTGTACACGTTGTCGAATCGTGAATTGCCCCTCGCTCATACTCATATATTATTATTATTATATGTTGGAGTACCTGAGGGTGTGGAGGCGATGCTAAAACTGAAGTAAGGAAATACATATAAACAGCATCCGTACACTACCCTTCTAACCCCTTCATCGGAGCGGCAAATTTTACCGCCAAAGGACATTTACTGGGGGACCAAGACAAAGGACACTACTGCCATACGTTAAACAGACCCCTCGCGGGCGTAATACAACACCAAATTACATAAGTACCTAATTTAATTAAAATTAAGAATCAATTCTTGATTTATATGTAGAAATCGAAATTTTCCAATGCATTTGTAGTGTGATCTCAAATCTGTAATGAAACGCTCTTGTTTCAGAATTTGGAAGCGGCACCCACTCAATGCTGCAAGTGCGTTGCATAATTTACTTATTCGCCACAAACTTTTCTAAATGTAAGGGGTTGGTTCGAGGGTTACGGGTTACGTCCGATGTCCGTTCAACACAAAACAATATAATAGGCATGACTTTCATTATTGCTAACGATCAGTTCTCTTTAAGTAGCAACTTTCGCGCTCTCGAACTTGATTGCCCATTGTAAACATCTTCCAATAAATCTAGATTTTCATGCTAGATCCCTAATTATATTGTTAGAACCTTATAAATTCTCCTTTCATCTAGCTCTAATTGAGCGAGTTTACGTCTTGTAAGGGAAACAAACGACTTATAAATCTTCTTCAACATTATAAATTACGTGTTACTGCTAAAGTAGTTCGAACGAAAAAGGAAAATCAGCGGAAAATTTGTTCATCCCCGATTTCATTTTTGGTCCCCGTCAATCGCGCGCTGTCCCAGTGGGACGCCAAATCGATATTTACGAAAAAAAAGTAAGCAAACTATTTAAATTTCCCCGATATTAAATCGTAATTTATTACACTTTCCTGGTTAATCGAAATCACCACAAAGTAGTTAAATATGAATCCACTTTTACTACCTACTATTTTATGTTCAGTTAACTGCCTTTGATTTGAGGCGAATTCGCTCTGGCATTTTAATAAAACTTGCAATAAAGAGATGAAAGAATATTGTTGATTTTATAAGTTAACCAGAAGTTATAAAACTTATTTCGATTCTTTCTCTTGTAAATTTTTCTATTTTGTGTTATTTATTGCTCATTTAATATATTAAAGCTTCCGGATGGCAATATT